GTTCTTTCCTTTTAACAAGAAGTTCGGAGGCCTCTCGTTGTCTTTGATCCCGCTCCTGCTCCAATTCTAACCGCCGTGATTCCAAATCTAATCTGTGCTTTTCGGCTTCCCTCCTTGCCTCCATGTCCTGTATCATGAGAAGTTTTTCCTCTCCATCTGAGTCACAAATCACACGGCGATGTTTACTGTTTTTTTGCGGATGCCAGCGTTGGCTGAGATATCTTCGTCCTCTACTGCAACCTCATCAGCAGAATCTATTCCACGAGAGCTTCCAGAATTGGCTTGCCGCTGCAAAGCCTGTGCCCGAATTAATTTCCCTGCTACAATTAACTTGCGCTCTCTCGCATTTCTATCGTCTTTTTATTTGCGCTTGGTCTCCTCGTGCTCATTTATTTAGAGCAACAAATCATCTAGCAGTACTTATTTTTCCCCTCTCACTTCCATTATTCCCGATGCATTCAGACTACTTCTGTTCGTTCTCCTTCGATCCGCAATAAGGGTTTTAAACCGGTCTCGATCTGGTTTCCATGTCAGAGATCCCATACTCTCAAGATTTGTCCCGGCAGCAGCCTCCCACATCAAGACAACGGTCTCCTGAAACTTGACAGTAGTCTCGCCGTAGTTGGCAAGTTGTGCACTGGTTGTGCTGATGGCTTCGAGGAGCATTAGATAACATGCTGGACTGTACGAAAAACGTCGGTTGCGTGAGTGCGATCGGAAAGGAACAATCTGAATCGCATCTTCCGCCGAAAACGCGGTCTTAGACGACGTGTGTGGTGCGGTGGCAGGCAGAGGTTCCGAAGGAGAAGGTAGAGGTTGGGCAGAGAGGACAACGTTGGGCGTCGAAACTTCTGGAAGGGGAGCACTGTTGGCGTTGTCAGAAGGGAGGCTCGAGGCACTTTGACCTTGCACAGGACGAATCCCTGCTGGTCAAGAGGACGGGCTCGGCTGCTGAATTGACTGCCGTGTGTGCATTAGCTGCAAGGAGGAAGTGCCGGGCTGGTAGGAAGAAGCTGCCGCGTGAAGCTCGTCGGGAGGGACGAATGTCACGCGCTCAGGCTGTGGTGAAGCAGAGCAAAATTTTGAGTTTGTAGCAGCTTTTGGGGATGAGGGGAGAAATTCCGCTATGACTTGAGTCTGTGGGACGTAGAGAGAGATGGTGGGTGAAAGGGCTGTACTTGTATGGCGGATTTGGCGGGGATCTGCAGATTCGTGACCATTTGCTTTTCGCTGGATCGGCTCTCTGTACAAAACATGATAGGGAACCCGACCGCGTTTTCGTAAGAGGTGGCCTCGTGGACTACATGTCATGAAAAATTCCTTTCTTACTGCAAAATATCGAACTGCGTAAACCCTCTAATGCTTTCAAGTTTTATGAGAATCGCCAGTGTGAGGTGACAAACGTGCTGATTTGCGCAAACCTCCTCAATTTTGACTCATTCCAAAAATACCAATTTTTATTTTTATTTCATATAATTTATATTCATATTGTTTCAATGGGGATTCGGGAATTTGATGCCAGCAGTTTGCTCATTTTTTTAAAAGCCGCGTACTCTGTTTGCTTTCGTTGCAAATTTTCGCTGCAGAATGCATCAATAGTTGTATCGTAGTGAAAGCTCAGATCATTACCAATCTATGTGTGTGTCCTTTGACATGTAGTGATGGCAAACAGCCGAACGGTATGCATTTGAAGTGAAATGAGTCAAAATTGGGGATGAATCAAAATTGGGAATTTTTGGAAGTACGCCAGGTTTCGAAAGTGCTGCGCAGCGGGGACGGCAGTGCCGCGTTTCGTTTCGAATGTCCTTGTACAGTACTGTAGTCGTTTGATATCAATGTATGAGACCAGTAGCGTATCTCGGCGACATGTAGAGTAGGGAGGGGGCGACACAAGGTTGATGTCGCGCGTTCGAATCGCATTACCCGCGTAAGCGATCAAGCTTCTGAAGAATCTCTGCGATTCTGTCCGCGCTCCCCGCGGGGCGCTGCACCGGAGTGCGGCGCTGACATCCTGGATGCATTCGCTTGCAAGGTTGCTCTCACCGAGGTCACTGTGACGTAATCGACTTTGCAACTGTTCAACTTCCCCACGTCCCCCAACACTTGATACGCTGCATTTCTTTCCATTCGTGCAATCGCTCCCCACCGCGGCTTGTTTGTTGCGTGGCGGCACGCGCGGGGCAAGCACGGGCGAGCGCGGGCGGCCACGGCATGTACCGGAAGGGGCACTGCTCTGTGGCGGCAAGGGCAAGCCCGGGCTCGCATGCGCCTTTCAATATGGGAAATCGCGCCTTTCGCCGCGACGCGCCTCGTGCGACACGATTGGCCGCGGCCGCGGCCGCAGAGCCGCCAATTGGCCGCGAGCGGCCGTCAACGGGCGCATTACACGACGAGTGCCTTATAGCTCGCGCCTTCCCAGAAGGGCAAGGCGCCCCGTTGCTGCGAAACACATTGAGCATCATATACGAATACGGCATTGGCTGGCATTCAGACACGGGCTCGGGTGGAAGCGCGTCAACTGGCACGCCAGTGGGCCGACGGCCGTTTCCTAAAGCACGGCAGTCTCCCGCTTGCAGAGAGCAAGGCCCGGCGCTTACAGCGGGGCGCGGCGCACCACGCAATGGCGCCTGCGGATGTGGACGAGCGCGACGCGTCATCGCCCGACCGCCCCATCGGGGCACGCCTCGCCCAACCGCTACGCAGCACGCCCCGCCCGGGCCGCCCAATTCGCAAGCCGCGCGCCCATTCCGCCAGACAACTCCACCACCCCGCCACCCCCCGAATGCTCCGCCACTCCTTTGCAAA